AAATAAGTGATCTAAAAGTTACAACATTAGGAAAAAAGTTCATAACATTCAGAAATATCCGAACTAAATTTGAATTTGACTAAGTAAGGCTCGTTTAAAAAAAAAAGTGTTAATCTGCGTGAGAAAAATTGAAATAAATGTATGGAAGAATAGCCAGAGATCTGGTTATCCTTAAACGACATCATTTTTTTTTATTTAGCATTTCGTTTATAAGCTTTTTCTTTGTTTCTGCTTTTTCAGAATTCTCGAAAGAATTTCATTATTAGTTAATTGATTTTTTTGTTTGGGTGTAAAAACATATGAAGCTTCAATGCTTGGCATAGTCTGTTTTTTGCATTAAGCTTTATTATTATTATATAAAAAACAAAAACTTCTATAAATAGAAAATCATTTTTTTGAAGGTATTGAGCTTACCATTCTTTTTCTTCAAGTAAAAAGTACCAATCTAAGAAAAAAGGCATTGCAGTCTAACATGCTGTTTCCAATAGAAAAAAAAATTGAATCGACAGAATGAATATATTTTCGATTCTTGTTTATTGAATATCTCCCGAAAATGTCATGATATAGGACTGAAAATTGAATGCATCTGATCTAAGATAGATCACCTAGAATAAGCAGAGACGTATTTGAGGAACAAAAAAAAATGTTCAGAACCAAAATCAGAGTGTTGACTTTCAGAAGTTTATAACTCTGACTGGGAAATTCAAGAATAAAATCGGCCGATTTTACATCTGTAGGATACCTCCAACTATTATCCTTGGTAAAAATTTCAGTCCGATCGGGTTAAAATTAGAAGGAGGTCGTAAGCAGTCAGGATTGAAAAAAATGGTATTTTTGCATTATGCTAAGTAAAAGAAAAGAAAGCTCGAGCACGAATACTCTTAAGGTGATTTCATGATTACTCGTATATCTTAAGAAACGCTTGGGTACTTACCTAAATACTCAACATTATTAAAACTAGTTAGATATCTGTCGAACCTGAAGTTTGGTACATGTTTAGATAATATTTTCTGAGAGTTCTAATGAATAATTTTTTCAGATATTTTAAGCGTCATCTTTCGTTAAATTCAATCTAATTCGTCAATTCAAGTATCCAATTTCAGCTCAGTCGAAAAAACGAGTTATCTACGTTAGTAATATTTATCACAGTTTGATGGAGAACCGTCCAGAATCTGAAGAAGAAACACAAAATAACAATCAAGAAAATTCTAATGATGGTAAATTATTTGAAAAAAAGTTTTTTTTTTTTCTTTCATTTATATTTATATTAACATAGGTAGTCTTCTTCGTCGTCTTAATTCGTCAGTTTTAGGTCTTCGTTCAACTACAAAATCATTTCAACGTGATCCGGAAACCTTTCGTACAGCATTTATACATTCTGCAGCTATTATATTTGTTTTAGTATGTGGTGCATGTGGTTTACTTGCATATCGCATATTAGAACCATTTCTTCGTTGTATATTATGGTCAATATTAGCTGGTGCATTTTTATTTCCTTTTAAAAATCATTTAACATTAAAAACTCGACATTTTCTACGTCAATTAGATACAGATTCGCATTTATTATTTTATGGTTTACTTATTTTATTACCATTACGTACATTAGATAGAACAATTGATTCAATTTTTCCATTTATTAAGAAAAAATGGAAAGAATTATTGATAATATTTATTTTTTTATTATCAATTGAATGGATTCAAACTGACGTTGTTTATCATTGGTTAATAACAATTGAATATGATTTTATTAATAAACTTGGATCAATTGTTCATGTATTTGATTCATTATGGATGACAACAGTTGTTATTGCTTATTTAATAGCTGTTTTAACTATTTATGATAGTTCATCATTAATTAGAATTTTATTAAATATATTAGCTATACCAATTTGGTTTATATTATTGATTTATCTTTCACAATTTCTTCCAGTTAATTATAGATTAATTGTAGTTATTTTATCGATTATTTTAACAATTGTTGGTTTTATAGTAGATTTTAGAGAAAGAATTGATCAAAATATTGTTCGTAAGTTTAGATTTTTATTTTATTTAAATAAAAATAATCTTATTATAACTTATAAAGATGTTTATTTTTATTTTTTTCTAAATTCAAGAAATATATAATATAAAAAAGATCTCACGTGAATAATATCACCTTTTTCTAACTATCAATAACATATTAAAAAGAAATAATTACTCAAAGCATTAACATGTCATTCACATACTTTCTTTTTATATTCAATATTTATCATTGTCAAGTTATTTTCGATTTTATTCTGTCATATGTACATAGTGATGAGCATGACTAATCGTTTTTAGTCTCGATCAAAAAAAAAAAGAA